ATAAATAATGGTGTCAACATTTCAAAAATAATTTATTTTCGGTAAAAAATTAATGGTTGTTCATCGTGATTCTTTTAGTAGCGAATTTCGATAAATTATATATTGGTTTGATCTACTCGACTCGAAATGTTTGAAAATACCTTCAATTTGTAGTCGGTGTCTTGAAGTTTGTCAAAATCGTCATTATTGTTTTCAAATTTTTTCGACCAAATTGTGTATGAATCAATGATTCAGTTGTTGGACTTCTATAAAAAAAGAATATGCATCGAGAACTGTTTTGTTGAATAATCCAACAATGTCTCTCATCGTCAATTGGAGCTCTCAATCACCTACTGGTATGTCAGCGAAAGTTCCAATTTTCTCGGCTGCAGCAACTCAATGAAAAACTGAAATTCTTTTGCCGCCAAGATAACAATAGCTTCTTTTTTTTAAAAAAAAAAAACATAAATATCACTATTTTAGGTTTTTTAGTTCAATAACAATGAAACTATCAACTTTATCAATGTCAAAACAATTTTTCTAATGATATGTAATAAAATTTTATTTTCTTGGTAAAGTAAGAGAAATTTTTTCAGGACTATGAAATTTTTTCATGAAGGAGACAATATTCAGAGTTGGGACTTGCATCCTCCATACCCGTACTGTCCTCTGCATGATCTTTTTCTCTGCCAGCAAAAACATTATATCACTCTAATGACTCAGTTGCTAAATGCTCGATTATTATTGTTTACAAGTCCGAAAAATTTTGATCTCTCTAAGAAAAAATACGAAGTTTTTTTGACAACGATAACCAAACTTACATCTTCGAATATATGAAAATCCCAACGTCGACAAATATAAATGCCATGTAGTATAACCAATCTACCTACAAAACTCAAATCGAGATTTTTCGGTATGGATTTTAGAAAATGAATGGCTTTTCTCAGGTGGTATCAACTTAATTCTAACAAGCTTAAATCTGCAGATAATATAAACATTAAAGATACCGTTTGCTCGTAGAAGAATGTTCGAATCACTCCCACATATCTGACGGAAGAAGGGAAAGATTGAACAATGTGGATTCACTCATCTGTATCATTGTTTATTACAAATATTTCATACAAATATAGAAAGACTTTATCATTTCAAACTAAAAGATTTAGAAACTAGTCTTGAGAACAATTGGGAGAATTTAATGGAACAAAAAGCTTGCCACTGCATAACCAGCATAAGCTGAAATCTAGAACAAAAACAACAATGACATAAAAATTTGAAAATCAGAAGATTAATAAACCAACCACATTAGATTCAATACTTACAAGTTACAAGTCCAGCAGACCATTTGACCGACTCGAATGCCTTCCTCTCCAGGACAGTACTAACACGAAAAGGTCAAGATTAAGACACTAATAATAATGGAAGTAAGATGACGATGAACATTTAGGTAGCCAAATATAACAGATTGAACAACAAATATTTGAAAAAGGATACATCTCAGTTGCACTAACGAGCATGCCGAACATGCCAATCATAGTCACTGCCTCAATTTGATCTTTTTCCTTCACACAAAATTCCTGATTATCACAATCAAAATTTGCTCAAAAACTCAAAAGGGAAGAGCGAAAAAACAAAAAGTATAAGTGTATGGTATTTTCACTGTCGTAACTAACAAAACAGACCTCTCCAACATTGTTTATTGCATAAAAAAACGAGCCTGCAATTACAAGACAATCACCCAAAACAGGAATCGAACCACCTGATGAAACAAAACTAGTATGTACAAAGACACTTAATTTGATTGGAAAATAAAAAAAAATTGTATATAATTTCACTTTGATAAAAGGATCGAAAAAGGTCACCTCCACTGACCACCCCTGCATCAAAAAGGAAGACTAGGCTGAGGCCGGCCACACAAATAGCCGAACCCACAAACTGATGAACCGAGTATTTTGTGCCCAAGAAAATCCATGTGAGAATGACTGTCCATGCTATTGTCCAACAATTCAGGATTGTCACACTTGTAATAGATGTAAATTGGAATGATTTGTTAATTGTTATGAACAAAATGTTAAAAAGTATATATATATATAAAAAAAACACTATGAAATGAAATTTAATTTTAAACATGTTCAAGGATGTCTCCTTAAAATCAATACCTTTTAGATCAAAATTTATATTCATTATTCATCTTTTATTTCGTTGAATGATCGACACGTTAAAATTGACGTATTTTATTTAAAAAAAAGTTCGTATTTCAAAACATGTCGACTTAAGAATGTCGTATTTACCGATGTATTTCCCGTGGACGTCAACGAAGCCCAGGACAACATACCAATACCAAGGGACTTGAAATTCAAATAACAATTTTGTACTGTAAATTCTTGATAAATTACTACTTTTGTGAAAACTATATTCACTAGTTTTATTGTATGTATGTATGAAACGTTTTTTTACCAACAACTTTTTACGGCGGTATATCAAAATGTTCCCATACACCACGACCAGGGACATGTAAGTCGGGAAGGACAAAGTAAGTGGTGCATCCACTGGAAAAACAGTAACAAAAACATGAACAACTGACAAAGTATCAAACTCTAAATACTAAAATTATTTCTCTTGAACATTGAATAAATAAATAAATA